GGTACGTGTCTACGTTATTTCCTTTGGTAAGGTCGATCGTGGTTAGGTTAACCGTTGAATTCCCACCTATCTTACCCCATAATGGCCAGTAATTCAATAAATCCTCATGACGGATGGCCAGGCAATCACCAAAGGAGGAGTGGTAGGAAAGGGGATTGGTTCTCGCGCCGAGTCCCAGTCAATAAGTCTTTGCTTAATGTGGATAAAAAATTAATTTTGGGGAGGTTATTATTGTTACCACGTTTCGTTTTGTTTCATGTTATACTCGAGTACTATCCTGGTTGTTCCCTACTTTACCTCTGCCTATCTGTTTACTTGTCTCTTTCTCGATTAAAACCATGACGTTACATTGCGCTCGAGGATGCAATTGCTTCTATGAAATGGTGCATCAAAGCATGTCTACTACTGTATCTGTTTTTTCATTTTCATTTTCATTCTTTTTATTATGGACGGTTCTGAGACTGCCTTTTGTGCATTATGAACTCGGTCTTGACTGCCGATTGCACGAATGGATTTATGCATGCAAATTCAGCGTTCCGCATACCCCGTCTCCGGATTAAGGTACAACTAAGGCAAGGGTCCAGTAGGATGGGCTAGGAAGGGGAGCGCAATTGCCACTCGCCAATGTGAACGCCCCCAATCCAAACGCGGACCGCTAGGCACCATAGCAAGCCGGTGGATCTGCCCGCTGAGGTGTGTGGGATGGGTCGGATCAACTTCAGTGCTCATTGAGTGGATGTCTGGGTTCCTCGTTTGGTGGGTAATCGTGGGTGTAAGTCCGGTACAGTATTGTGTCGGTAACGGCGGCACTCGGGTTACCCCCAAGTGCCATGGGCGGTGGCGAGTGACTGGTCGTCTGGCTGTCGTCTAACTGCACATGAGGAAGCTACCGTATACTCGAGTACCGGTACTGTACCATGGCATGAATTATCAGGCCTCATCTCGATTCGTCCGATTTCATTTCATCTCGAATGCCTTCCCACATATAGCTAACTTACCACCGTCTTATTCCTGAAGCACCCCGACGCTTCCAGTGCCCAAGATGACGACGGACGGTTGTGGCGCACGCTATCCCTATGCTTGTTATGTCTCTTCCGGAATAAGTTTTGCATGACTAAGAAGGACTGCGACGGATGCAGCGATGGGGCTCTGCAAGGACCTCAACCTCGCGGTAGCGATACAGTGTGATACCGGTACGTGCGGGTAGCTTGAACCACGGACTACTACAGGATGTAAATTCCTAAAATATGAAATGCCACCTTTCCTCCCCCACCAGTGATTTTATGGATAATAGTACCTAACGCCAACAGTGACAAATAACAGGGAACATGCTGCACAGCCCGTGAATTTGAGAACGGTAGTAGAAGGAATGGCAAGTCCAAGGCGTCCTTGGAGGAACCTGCATGATGATAAACGAGAGACAATGTCGTTGACCTTATTACCCTATCTTTATCCCACCATATACGCGAGTAATTTGGCCGAGAGAGAGTGGAAAGCGTAGAAGGTGAAAACGGTGAAAATGGAAAGAGAGCAGAGGCTTTTTTTTTTTTTTGATAGTCTACCAACCGTGAGAGCCGGACTTGAGAGATCTGATTGGTATTAGACTGTTTTAGGGAGGTGTTCGGGCTGGGTCTACTGAGATTGAAGCAGAGATCTACAACTGGCCATTAATCTGCGGCGTCGTTTGTGAGCGAAAGGTACACTGTCCATGCGATTCCAACGGTCGAGGCAAAAGGCTGCGGACATAAAAGGTTAGTTTGCTTATGTAGTGTTGAATGAAATACGATTCCAAACTAACCAGTTGGAGTGAAAGAGGAACAACTCGGAAGTTTAGTATTTGAACAGCTGGCCATAGAATATAATTGGATTTCCTAAGGAGCATTTAATAAGTCAGGATATGTAGAAGGGAAATATATAAGGGATACATACAAAGCGGAAATATAAACCATATCGAATTTTCGAATGATAGCTTTCTTTCCACCTCCCTCTGCTAAGGTCATGTAGATGAAGAAGACCGCAAGGGCTAAAATTACAAACAGGGTTATTCGGATGGTTCAGGGGAGTGTTCTCAGATATAGAACTTACAGGTAGGAGAGAGGATGAGCTGGTCAATAGCTACACGCCAGAGGGCCGGTGCGATTCCGCTGGTTGGTGTAATGGGGAAGGTATCCGAGAGAAAGCCGAACCACTTGAATAGCAGAGGCGCAATAAGGAAACCTAGAGACCATAGAGTCAGTGATTATTTGCATTGCGCGGAACGTTCTGTCACATGCCCCATGCCATGTATCTCACCAGCCGCTCAAAGTCAAAGGGCGGCGGTGAGGTGGCCAAGAGTTCCGCTCGATGGGTAGGTAAAGGGCCCTTCTCATTCAACTCATGGATTTCTATTGAAATGCTATCCTTCTTTCCAAAATCTCGAGGTCTGCGGGTTTTAGCTCGTATGGAGGTGACTGTTTGGGCGATGGTATCTGCCACCCCGTTCAGCAACTGGCATAACGACTCTATTATTAGCTTTCAAGTTGAGGTTAAAGGTATCTAGGAGGTCAGGTTCAGGCTATTTCGAAGGAAAAAGAAAAAGGAGGCACCATACCGAGTTGGTAATCATCATGGTCAGTATTGGCTTGGAGCCAAAATGTAGGTCATATTGCATAGCCACACGAGCTAATCCCACGATCTCGATAAAGAGCACAACAACGTTGACCAAAGGCTGGGGGAGGATAAATTTATCAGTGATGATTGCAGAGATGTTATGGAATGCAGGGTTTCTCACCACGCGGCCACAAAGATGGTAATTTCGTGCAGAACGGATCAAACGAAGGCGGTCCGACGATGCCATTTTGATGAAGAAGAAAAGTGAAGGGCTGTCTTCACGTTTGACGAGGGGTTGAGGAAGGTCTAAGGGATGGGAAGGCAAGAGTATGGGTGGCGTTTGATGGGGGAGGAGGATGAAGGAGGTTCGATGAGGGGAAGCGACAATAAGGTTACCACTACGGTGCGGTACCGGTATCAGTATCGGGCGGCAGTAAGTTTGACGCTGAGTACGCGTGGGTACTGGCTAAGGCTGAGGTTGGAAGCTGGGAGCGGGGTCTAACGATGATGAGATGGGGGATGGATGGGATGGCTGTGGTCGTCGGTGTGTGCGGAGGGGGGAAAGCAAGGATATCGGTGCGGTACAGTAACAAGGAGAGGAGAATATGTGCTGTATGCCAGTGTACTTGACCATTCATAAAATATTCGGATGCCTTGGCGCCAAGGTATATCAACCGGCACCCAAGCATGGAATCCTGGCGCCAAGTCATCCGAATACTTTATGAATGGTCAAGTACTCGTACGAGTCTGGTGGTGCAGCCACTCTCCAAGCACGCAGAAGGCCAAAAAGCGAGAGAAGCGAGAGAAGCGAGGAGAAGAGAATAAATGACAGCTGGGGCTTTCGGCGCGGCAGGCAAGGTACTGTGCGAGGCGGTACGATACAGCACTCGTATGGTTTGGACAACGACCAACAACAGATCCCTTTTCTGCTTTCCTGCAGGAAAAAAAACGAGATCTGATCTGATAAACTCTCTCAAGTGTGGCTGATGCCCCATATCTTGCTGTCTTAGGATTGGCGATCTGATAGGTCTCGAAACCCTCATTGGATAGAATGGGAGAATTTCATTTTTAGCGTGCTTCCTCCTGTCTATTGTGCTCGCAGGTCTTTTGTTGCCTCGTTGCTTTTGCTTCTGCCGCCCGCTGCTCTTCACACCCCAGTCCAGCCCATTCCTTCCCTCCCTTCCCTTCCCTTCCTACGCAACAAGACACATTCGTTCCCCCCCCAAAGCGGTGGCTCTTCCCTTCCTCTGCCCAACACCCCCACAGCTTTCCCGCTACACGATCTTCATCAACCACTGCACCCGCCTATCCAACCACCATAACACTTCCCCAGTAACTACTTTCTTCTTTTATATCAACAATATTTTTTCCTTTCAATATTATTGCCTTTTCTAGGCTAATATACTCATGGCTTGTAAGTCTGCTCGTGTCTTTTTCAGTTCGCGTTGTTGCTGCCGCATTTTTCCCTGGTCATCCATCCTCTTCCTGCCGCTCGCTCTTTTGCCCACTCCCAACACACCACCCTTTAAAACTTTCTCCTGAGCTGTTAAAGTCCGTGGGAATATGTCGGATGCTTTGTCGAGTCTTTCACCGATATGTTGCTTCGCGTTCTGTTGTTCCTTTTCCCTGTGGCCTTGTAGTGACCCCTTTGACCCCCCGGTACTTCCCATCACGGGCCATCATGAACATCGAGTCCTGCATCCCCGAAGCATCGTGGAGACTCATCTCGGGCCTCTATACCATTGATGGACCCCTCATTTTAGTCGCCTCATTCACCCTCACCTTCCTCAGCTTTCCGCTTCTCCCTGTCCTGTTTTTGGTCCCATTACTGATGCTGGCGCTCAAATACAGCAGGTAGCGTGAGCTTAGTCTCACCTCCGGCCCTCCTAACATCTGCTGTGACACATCCGGATCCTGTATACATCAATGGCAATGATACCATGTCGCCTGCGAGCTCCTCGCCAAGTGAGGGACCCTTATCCGACGCTGAGGAGGATGCGGGGGCCCAGCAGGAATCTATCTCCACTCCCGAATCCGGGAATCAGGACGAAGTGGTTTCGAGCGCCTCATCCGATGAGGGTGGTGATGGCGGCCAATCCGAGGATGGGGACTATGAGATAGAGACCCCGGCAGAAGAACCAGCGGATGACCATAACGGTGACTCTGACGACTCAGACATTCCTGTAAAGAGTGCTGGGAGCTTGAGGCGAACCGCGAAATCGAAACCCGCTGACGACTTTCACGAGAACCCAGACCTTTATGGCTTACGTAGGAGTGTAGGTTACATGCTATGGTGTTCCAATGGGGCGCAGGCTGACCAATTCATATAGGAACGTGCTCGACCTGCTGCTCGCCCAGTGGTATGTGCTCAGACATTGCAACTCAAGCAGTGTGTTTTGTAACTTTCGAAAAGGGTATTGCTGATAGTTTGGGTAGGTTGATACTACCTCCGATTCAGATGACTCGGAACCCAAGAGCAACCGCAAGAGGCGGAGAACTGTTACTGCCCCTCGGTCGTCTAAGTGTTAGCTATTCCAATCAATTGTGAAGGGGAGGAACCAAGCTAATATGTCTCTTAGCTTCCAAGCGTAATACTCCAGCCCTTGGGTGTGGATCCGGGGATAGCGACGATGACGAGGATGACTATGGCGTTCGAAAGGCTTCAAAGTCAAGGGGCAAGCGTCGGCGCGTTGTGGTTTCTGATGCGCCCTCGGCCGACGGTCTCCGGTTTTCGACCCGCAAGGCGGCCAAAATCACTAGTTATAACGAAGACGGAGATGATGACTTTGAGGAGGAGGAGGATGGTGCCATTGCCTACGAATGCGCAGACCCGGGTGCAGATGTAGGAGGCATTGATTCGATACTTGATCATCGACCTCGTGAGGGCATAGGTAGGTGTTCTGGGAGCTTATAGGTAATCACGGCTAATGCCGGTGGCAGACTCAACCGATCCGATCATGGAGCGAGGAGAACTTCAATTCTACGTAAGTTATTTTGTCTGGTGAGCCAGCCACTGCGCCTCTTACTGATTGTCATAGATCAAATGGCAGGGCTTATCGCATTATCACTCGACTTGGGAGACAGCCGAGGCACTAGCTGGATGTAAGGGAATCAGGAAGCTCGACAACTACATGAAAAAGGTCGTCCTCGAGGACTATTACGCTAGGACCAACCCTTTTATCACCAGGGAAGAGGTTGAGAACATGACCCTGGAGCGTGAGCGATTGCGTGAATCACTTGCTGAATTTGTTCATGTGGAGAGGGTTATTGGGGACCAAGTCAATGAAGAAGGAAATCGGGAGTACATGATTAAATGTGAGTTTGAGGTGACATTGGGTCCTCTCTTAACAGATGCTTATTGCCTTTTTTCTTCTTTGGTGTAGGGAAGCGGCTTGCATATGAAAATTGTACCTGGGAGAGCGCCGAGCTGATCACAGAAATCGCCCCCGATGAAATCGACAAATACCGTGTCCGTGAAAAGACCCTTCCATATTCGAAGAAATCCGAGAGCGATGTGAGGACTCGTCGGCCCTACAAGAAACTTGAGGGCCAGCCTAGTTATATCAAAGGAGGAGAGTTACGTGACTTCCAAATGAAGGGGTTAAACTGGTTGGCCTATAACTGGACCAATGGCAACAATGGGATATTGGCAGACGAGATGGGTCTTGGGAAGACGGTTCAAACAGTCGCTTTTATGAGTTGGGTAAGTAACTAATTGTGTTACGCTGTCCCATCTATTTTAATTCTGACTGATGTTTCTTCAGCTCCGTCATGACCGACATCAGCATGGACCGTTCCTAGTTGTTGTGCCCTTATCCACAGTACCATCATGGGCCGAAACCCTGGAGAACTGGGCGCCGGATATGAATTTTATAGTCTACACTGGCACAGGAAAAGCGCGTGAAGTAATCCGCAAATACGAAATGTTTGCAGACCCTGGAATGACCAAGGTTAAGTTTAACTGCATGGTTACGACCTACGAATACATTCTGAACGACTTCGCTACCTTGGGGAACATTAAGTGGCAGTTTCTGGCAGTTGACGAAGCGCATAGGCTCAAGAATAAAGAATCAGCCCTATATGACAAGCTGAATGTCTTCAAAGCTCCTTGCCGTCTCCTGATTACTGGGACCCCATTGCAGAACAACTTGAAGGAACTTGGGGCATTGGTCGATTTTCTTATGCCTGGTAAAATAAGCATAGACAATGATGTTGATCTTCAGTCCAAGGATGCTGGTCGACAAATTGAGCAACTTCAACAAGCTCTGAAACCCTATATGCTCAGACGCGTTAAGAAATCAGTCGAAAAATCGTTGCCTGGGAAAACGGAGAAGATTATTCGGGTTGAACTTTCAGATGTCCAGACTGAGTACTATAAGGCAATCATCACTCGCAATTATGCGGCCTTAAATGCTGGTGCTACGGGTCCAAAACAATCCTTACTTAATATCGTCATGGAGTTAAAGAAGATCAGCAACCATCCATTTATGTTCCCACCTGCCGAGCAGCGCATCCTCGGTGGCAGCAATAGGCGAGAGGATGTGTTGAAGGCGTTGATTATGAGTAGTGGAAAGATGGTTCTATTAGATCAGTTGCTCACGAAGCTTAAGGCAGATAATCACCGCGTTCTGGTATTTAGCCAGATGGTGCATATGCTGGATATTCTTGCCGACTATCTTAATCTCAAGGGGTTCTCCTTTCAGCGCCTTGATGGAACAATTGCAGCTGGACCTCGCCGGATTGCTATCGATCATTTCAACGCACCAGAGAGTCCAGATTTCTGCTTCTTGTTAAGTACACGTGCTGGCGGTCTAGGGATTAACTTGATGACAGCAGATACTGTTATCCTTTTTGATTCAGACTGGAATCCTCAGGCTGATCTGCAGGCTATGGCTCGTGCTCATCGTATAGGCCAGAAGGCACACGTGATGGTGTATCGATTGGTATCAAAAGGTGATCATTCCGTCACCGTCTTCTTTGACCTGACTAACATTCTTTGATAGATACAATCGAAGAAGAGGTCCTGGAACGTGCCCGGAACAAGATGATTCTTGAGCACTTGGTTATTTCGCTCGGTGTCACTGATAAAGGCATTACGGATAAAGTCAAGAAGAAGACAGATCGGTTAGAGTCAGCTGAACTTTCCGCCATTCTCAAGGTAGGCCATTTGTTAGTTTTTTTCCCGTGACTGGCGTGGTTAACCGTTTTTGCTACAGGCTCGTGCGTCAAAAATGTTCGAGGCTACTGATAACCAGAAGAAGTTGGAGGAACTCAAGATTGATGATATTCTTCTAAATGCTGAGGATCACATTACTCAGATTGAACCTGGCTTAGGTGGTGAAGGAGGAGATGAGTTTCTCAAGCAGTTTGAAGTAACAGACTTTAAGGCTGAAGTCTCATGGGATGATATCATCCCTAAGGAGGAATTAGATGCTATCAAGTCCGAGGAACAGAAGGAAGAGGTATATTCGACCTAGTGAGCGTAATCCCTTCTAATTTTTTCTAACATCTTCACAGGAGCAAGCGTTTTTGAAAGAGCAAATTGATATGAATGCGAGACGGAAACGGAAGTCGGCCACAAATGGAGAACTCGAGGGACGGTCAGCTAAGAGGCGGGCCAAGGAGTTATCCGCTGCCCATATCGATAGCGAAGATGATGAGCCCGAGAAGGACCCTCGCCGACCTCTCACTGGACCCGAAATTAGAAACCTTTATCGAGCCTATGCCCGATATGGTTGCCTTGAGCAGTGTTGGGAGCAGATTGTTAAAGCCTGCGGATTGGAGGACCGTGACCCAGACTTGGTTAAGACCACTATCGCCGACATGACCCAGATTGGTGAGGAAGCGATTGCACGCCAACGCGCTATTGATGATGGCACGGGAAAAAAGTCAAAACAGGCTATCTTGTTTACCTATAAGGGATGCCCGAACATCAATGCGCAAACAGTGGTCGAGAGGCCTAGGGAATTAAAGGAGCTTCGTAGAGCTGTTGCATCTTTCAGTGAACCTTTGAAGTTTCGAATTGAGGATGTCAAACCAGTGCATAATTGGGCTTGCGAGTGGGGTACTCGTGAAGACGCCATGCTTTGCGTTGGCATCGCTAGACATGGATATGGAAGTTGGAACCTGATCCGTGACGACCCTGAGCTTGGAATGGGCGACAGATTCTTCTTGGAGGAGCATCGGGTTGGAAAAAAGGATGAGGCAGCAAAATCACCCGGAGCAGTTCATCTTGTCCGCAGAGCAGACTACTTGCTTGGAGTGATGAGAGCTCGATTCGAAGCAGCTTCTATCGCGGCACCTTCCACAGCCAGACATCGGAGGTCACCAGATGCTAATTCTCGCCAGCCACAAAAGAGGAATGGGGCCTCAGCAGTCGATAGAGTTACTAAGAAGGATCGTGTCTCTTTATCAGCGTCACCCGCGCCATCTAAGAAGTATAGATATCAGACGGCTGACCCAAGCGAGAAGCACCGTCCCGAAAAGCACCGTCCTGAAAAACACCGCCCTGAAAAACACCGTCCCGAAAACCACCGTTCCGAGACGCACCGTCCTGAGAAGCGTCGCCATGAGGAGAAGGGGCGTTATCAGGAAAAAGTCCGCTACGAGGAGAAGGAGCGCTACCAAGACAGGGCCCGTTATCAGGAGAAAGGGCGTATTCAGGACAAGACTTCCGTTTCCTCGAAAAAGCACAAGAGCGATGGCCATGAAGTTGATAGCGCGAACCGGAAAAAGGCGAAGTCCTCCCCGCCTCCCAAGGCTAATGCAAAGGGCAACGGTCATGTCACTGAAGTGAATAGGCCATTGACCGCAGAGGAATCCGTGGCCGAGGTGCTTCCTTCCTTCCCCCCTTGATTTTCATTCGAACATAGACTAATTGAACTTACAGAGTAAATTGCGCCCTGTTCGTCGCAAATTGGAAGCTCTCGAGCATGTCAAGGAGCTCCAGAAAACGGATAGACTTAAAGTTTTGAAGGAAAATCTCCTGGCAGTTGGCAAGTTTATCAACAAACTTGAGAGAACTGAGAACGGGAGCAATGTTCACCAAAATCTTTGGTAGGAGATCATTCTTTGGGATAGGCTCGGGGAACCCCTGCTAATTGCATATAGGTATGTCGTTTGGCGCTTCTGGCCCCACCATGAGAAGCCATGGCAGGCGCTGGCGGAGTTTTCCGCCAAACTGATAGAGAGCGAGCGGGCCGAAAGGGAGGCGGTGGGGGCAAACTCTACATAATGGGTTCGAACGGCGTTTGAAACTAGGTCAAATTAGGTTCATGATTCCTTTATTTCGTTCTTGTCTATAGCTCTAGGGTGTTGGTCATTTTTTTTCCTTCCCATTATATTTCTCAACTCTTTATCCCCTATTCGTCCATGTTTCTAACTTCCCTCTCGTGGTCTTTCCCAATGGTGTTTTCTCTCTCCATTTTACTCGCACCTCCTCCCTTTTCTCGTTATATTTACATATTTGAGGGCATAGCAAGCGAACTTAACGGCGTCATGTGAAAATTTTGTGGGGTTTGTCCTTTATTTTACTTTTTCTGTGGGTGTATAGTGGGTTTAAGGTCGGTGCGATTTGTCTTTTATTATTATTATTACCAAGGTTTGAATTTCAATTCCATAGGTTGCGGGTTCTTATTCTCTTTTCTAGGTCAATTATTCCATGTATTTTTTTATTTTCTCTCCCCTTCTCCACTTTTCTTTTGCTTCCAGAAACAGCGGTGGAAGGTTCTTACGACCCCTAACGAATAGCACCGGCAAGGCCGATGACGGGATTCGTAAGCTGGGGGGGGGGGGTATGCTGTATTTTATGAGAGGGAGAGGCGGATCGGATGAAATGAGATGAAACAGAAAACAAAAAAAGGTGATGGGGATGATGGTTATGGAAGGAAGGGGGGCAGCTGTAGAACGCGGTTGGAGTAGACCATCTGCATAGAAAAAGGTACTTTGCCGAAATGGCCTTCTCTCTTTTTTTTCCCCTCTTACTTTTACTGTTCGAGCAATCCTTCACGGTGGTGGTGGTGGGTGGTTCGGGGCCATTATTACTGTGGTCTCGCACTTGTATAGTACCATATGGTAGTTAAGCTATCAGTTCTCTTTTTGGTTGTTGCTCTTTTCTTCATCCCCCTTTTCCCCTTTCTTCTTTCTTTTATGGGGGAGTTTTAAATATCGCTATTTTTGCCTAGCTCACGATAGAGATGGAGGTGATGATGGACCGGCTATTGTCACGTATGCTATGTTGAATAGTTGGTGAATGGTATATAAGGAATCTTATCTCCGAATACAATGTGATATTACGTGACGGGACTACATGGACTTGGACCAGACTAATGGTCTACTGGTACTAGTAACTGGCTTCACGGTGTGTCGGTTAAGGTGACGGGTAGCAATCCATGGAAATGAGGTAGAGGTGACGCACCCGATTTACTGCATTAGTGTCCCATCACCAAGCATGTACTGTACAGTGCTGTACGAGTACGATACAGTATGATACTCGTAGAGTCGTGTCCAGAAAATAGAAAATATGTACGCCCCTTAGCAATCCAGTACTACATCAAATACCAACCACTTTGTCTACAAAATGTTCATGTAGAAGTCTAATCAAAGGGTATGTGAAAGCATATTAGGAATACCTCTTATATCATAAGTAATAAAAAATAGTCTCTAAAAACAATCTATAGAGCTTTGAGTATTCCAAAATTCCAAAATCAGAAAAACAAAAATAGGTACTATCATAATAATATTATTATGAACTATTTTCTATCTTTTTAAAAATATTATGATGATACCGAATACATATTTCATCATTTAATCAACAAAGAAACTTATACTATAATCTACTAAACCTCTAGGCTCTTTCGTTGAACCTATAAATATTTGGTATTAATATTATTATTTTATTAAAAGTCTATTGAAGTTTAAGCTCTCCTGATCACCTGGAGTTTTCTCTTGTTAGTATTAGCCTGCTTGACAATATGAAAATCATTTCTACCTTTTAAAATCTTATTTACTACAAGCCAAATATTAAATAAGTAGGCTATTTATTAAAATTAGGCCATTTTCATCAACTTGTCACTTAGTTAGCTGTTACATTATCGCTTTAGAATAGTTATTTATAATTTCATCAGAAACTAATATATATAGAATAAATCTTTGCTGTATCAATCCTGATAGATAATAAGTACTCTTGTATCGGAGGGAACGGGGTACAATTATTCTACTTATTAGCACTGTAACCTATAACTACTATTAAATTTTAACATTATTTATGCTATGGTAGGCACTAGCAGGCTAAGAAGAAACAAGAATGAGCATATAAGAACGTAGGATGAGAATGTGGCAGTGGGTTACTCTTACTGATCGGAGGACTGCCTGTACCAAATTTCTCCTGGTTCCTTAAGTGATCTGAAAGACTCTGAATAACTATATATCATCCATCCGGCTGATGGAAACATTCCTCGAGTGCAATAAAGCTAGAAATTTCCAATTCTGTATGTTTTTGGCAAAGACAACACATCTCATATTTCTGTACTAGTGTGAAGCCAAGTTTCTTCACTGTATTCCACTTTTTACTTCCATTTGCAAGCTGTGCTGTTGACATCAAGCAAGCTCTGAGTTAAGGCGATCATTTGCAATAAAATTCATCGATTCAAGTTCAGTATTGAAAGGTTTCTCGAAATTCTCTCCCATTACGGGATTACTTGTTGTTGTCTCTCTGACCTTTTATCTTCTACTCTACCCCTCATTCAAACCCTGATGGAATAGCTGGGAGTCATATCAATACAATCACTCGCTTCTCACTTGTTTTTAAGTGCGACTGTAAGCTTCGTTTTTTTCCACCTCTCTAACTTTGAATACCCCTATCGGTACATGACAAAATATGACACCGAAGAAGACGGTGCAGTGAGCCAACCCCCTGCAGGAGCAAATGTGGAGGCTCTAGGTCCCGAGTCGGGACTTGCTAGTGTAACCGTATCAGTACCTCGCCATGTGGAGCTCCGGGGTTGCACAGTGGGGCATGATGGCCTCGGGAGTACCCTTCCTTCCCGCTCCTCTCCAGCTCCTCCTCCTCCTCCAGTTCTTCCAACCTTCTCCTCCTTCTCGTGCCAATCTATCAAGGGGTACTGTATCAGTGGGGAGTGACTCTACCTGTGCGGTTGCGGTAAACTTTGCTGGTAAGCTCCAACCCAGTGCAGTACCGGTACCGTGCTTTACTCGAGTAGAGTCCAACCGGGGAAGAATTCAACTCCTCGCCTTCCCCGCAAAAAAAGCCCCCCAATCACACACACCTTACACGGCTATCGACGGCTCAGTCAACAGCATCCACTGTGGCCCGTCCCGTCTCGGATATAGACCACAAGTACTCGTACCCGACCCGCAACGCGCATATACCATACATACTCGAGTACGGTACTGTACATTACATCCTTTTCACTTCATTTCGATCTCATAAACTTCACCACTCTTTCTTTCTTTTCTTTTCTTTTTTCTTCTTTTTACCTTTGGAAATAGGGATAAAAGAAGAAATAGAAAGGAACTCCTTCCGGAATCACACGTTTGGCCCCCCTTTACTTGCCTGCAGGCTATACTTGAGGCGGGAATTAAGGTTTTATTTTTGTTTTTTATTTTTAAAAGGAAAAAAAAATAAAAAAAGAGAGAGAGAGAGAGAGAAATTGCTGTCGTGTGTGGTTTGCTTACTCGGATAAAAGGAGGAGCAGAAGATGCTGTGGGGCAGTACCGGCAGTCGAACGGTTGTGCGAGCTAGATTTTTCCGGAGGAGTAACAGCAGCAGCAGCAGCGTCAGAGTCCTCCCTCCATTTATTACTACCACTGCAAGATCGTCGTTGTTGTCTGTATCGAAGTTGTCGAGGTCAAGGGGGCTCAAGAGTTCTGCTCGGGTGCTTGTCGTGAAACCATTCTTACTCGCGGATATTGGTGAAGGTATGTAAGCTTCCCACAACCACCACGACCAGCAGCCAACCAACCCCCACGCATTACACATACTCGAGCACACAATTCCCGGGTGGAAGGGGTGGACCGAGGTTGAAGAGGGATGCTAATGGACGAATTGGATAATATGCAGGAATCCGTGAATGCGAAGTCATACAATGGTTCGTTCAGCCAGAGGCTAGAGTGGAGCAGTTTGATAAGCTTTGTGAGGTTCAGTCTGATAAAGCTTCTGTTGAGGTAAATTCCTCTCCTTTCTTATTTATTTTCGGAGGGTTTTTTTTATTTCCCCTCTTGCGGGTTCTTGACTTGCTTGCCGTTCTCGGATAAATGTGGGGGTTTGCTGCTCGTACCGGTCGGGCTTCTGGCCGGCTGGTTGGACTCGGTTTGCCACTCCTCGAGCACTACAGGGTGGGAAGGAGAGAAAGGGGCCTTGCTGATCATTTCCCGCAGATCACTTCACGCTACGATGGGGTCATCAAAAAGTTGCACTACGAGGCCGGGGACATGGCAATTGTTGGAAAGGTCAAACCTCCCTCCCTTCTCGGCTGCCGGGGCCCCCACGGTCCGGGTGCTTTCTTCTTTTCCTTTCTGTAACACTTTCTTTTTGGTCAATTGAGGCTTGTGAAGCTAACCGGATTGCGGGAAGTACAGCCTCTCGTCGACATTGACCTTCAAGCCGACATCAACGATCCCGAACTTGGGGAGATGCAGAGCAAGACCCCTGCAGTGTCTGCGGTTTCAAAGCAAGCACCTAAGATATCTGAGGGCATGAATGGACCCGGACAGTTCTCAACGACGAGGCCCCACGGATCCCTCGCCACACCAGCTGTTAGACGTATGACAAGAGAGCATGACGTGGAAATCACCGAGATTACAGGCACCGGGAAGGATGGACGAGTCCTCAAAGAGGACGTGACAAGGTTTGTCGAGGCCAGGAAGTCTGGTGAACTCTCGCAGCTGTCGTCGCAGCTTAGTGCTCCCCGACCCCCGCTGGCACGGGCTGTCACCTTAGGAGTGGAGACGAAAGTCCCCCTCACACACATTCAATCGCAGATGCTGAGATCCATGACCAAGAGCCTGACAATCCCACACTTCCTCTACTCTGACGAAATAAACTTCGATCCACTAATCCGCCTCCGCTCCATAATCAACAAACCTCTCGATGCGAACCCGCCGGTGCCCAGAGTGTCCTTCACGCCCTTTGTCGTCAAAGCCGTTTCAATAGCGCTAGACCAGTACCCCCTCCTCAACAGCCGCCTGGAGTTCGACGGCGATAACAAGCCATATCTAATCATGCGTCCGCAGCACAATATCGGTGTAGCGATGGACACACCAGTAGGCCTTGTAGTCCCCAACATTAAGGACGTCAATAGCCTCAGCATCCTAGACATTGCAGCAGAGCTCAAAAGACTGCAGGAGCTGGGTGGAGAAGGCAAACTAACACCTGCAGACCTAAGCGGTGGAACAATAACTGTAAGCAACATCGGGAACATCGGCGGAACGGTAGTAGCACCTGTGATTGTCGCCGGCGAAGTCGCGATCCTGGGGATGGGCAGAGCGCGAAAGTTACCAAGGTTCAACGAGAACGGAGGGGTCGTCGCAGAGACAGTCGCGAACTTCTCCTGGTCCGCGGATCATAGGGTCGTTGACGGCGCAACGATGGCGAGAATGGCGGCGCTGGTGAGGGAACTGTTGGAGGTTCCTGCGAAAATGTTTGCCAGGATGAGATAATTCATACCATTCATTCCCACCAACCAGCAAAGTTGCACTCGAATCACGAATAGGCGTTCAACTAATATCTAACTCGCCTCGCCTCGCCTCACCCCACCTTCCTCCCACTGACACAAACCGCACGCTATCCACCAATCAGTCAACCAAATCGGCCAAGCGCCCCCGAAACGATACATACTCGAGTAGAATGAATCAATCAAATAAGTAAATGAATAAACAAATTAATAACCTTATCTCACTCACTCTATCCACATCCAGTCCCCGTTGCTAGTTTGCCATTACCAGGTCTCCCTCCCTTCCCTTCCCCGCCCCATTCGAAATCGGGCTTATGACGCTGCTACTGCAACCGCAACCGCAACCACCTTTGAGTCAATCGAGATCTAACTTTTTTTTATCTTACTTTGTTTTATCTCTTTCTTCATCCACCTTTTTTCCTTTCCAGGTAACGTCCCCCGAAGCGAGGCCAATTCCCCAAACCTTTTGTTTCTCCCCCCTCTCCTCTCCTTCCCTCCCCTACTCGTAGTCCGCAACACCTCCTTGAATGTCGGACGGTCACTTTGCAAACCGTCATCCCCATGGTGTCATAGATCATACGGAGGACTGTCCTGTGCTGCGTTGTACCGCTCACCATGCCGTTGTACGAGTAGACTACCGTAGCTCAAGTTAAGCTAACACATACCGGTAGCGGCTCTTTTCTAAAAACAACAACGATATCATACTATGAATTGTGGAGGATGACCCGGGCATTCATCCTTACCTTTAGAATTCCCCCTTCCTTTCCTTTCCTTTCTGATATTTCTATTTTTTATGCTTTGATGTGATGTGATGTGACGTGGTTGTGTTGTTAAGATGACGATGGCGATGAGCGCGGTATTGGCAAACGATAATTGATGAAAGTGCCAGTCCCGGGAGGGGGGAGGGGAAGAGGGGAAGAAGATATAGAAACGGAATTGTGCTTGTTTTTGTTACTCGTGCTTGTTTGCTTTCTTGTTTGTCCGTTTAGAAATAATTACAAAGGAAAGGAAATTCCACGATGAGTTATGTAAATTAAAACCGGATAGAAATAACCAGAAGAACAATATCAACAAGCAGAACACCAGGGGGCCAGGACAAAAGACAATTCTCAGCCCAGTTATGCACACGTTTTAAACAATACCTACTCCGAGAAAAAGAAGGAAAATGAAGGACGGATGGAGGGTGGAAGTTACAAGACAGTAAGGTAAGTAGAGTAGAGTAAGAGGAAATAGACAACGAGAACCAAGATAGCCACCGTAGAACGCTAAAAGGGAGAGAGAAGACAATAAAAACATAAAAATAGAGAGTGGAAAGCGTAGTAGAAGAAAAGAAAAAACTACTGCCTCTCCTCCTCCATGCACCCCCTAATCCTCTCCACGGTCAGGTTCTGCACGCTGGCTAGACTCCCGCTGACATCGACGGAGACAACGTCCACCTCGCTCTCGTCCGGTTCCTCCAACGCCGTGAACTGGCTGTGCACCATGTCGTCCTTCATGTAGTGGTTCTTCCGCGCCCTGACCCTTTTGAGCAGTAATTCCTCGCTGGCACGAAGATAGACGAACCGGACGACCACATCGTCGGCCTCACGACCGGCAATGCGAATGACGTCTCGGTAACGGCGCTTCAGACACGAACAGGTGACGACGCATCCCTCTGCTCCAGACTGCAGCTCTTCAACGGCCTTGTTGCGGAGTGTTTCGAGCCAGTCCCAGCGGTCGTCGTCGGTCAAGGGGATGCCATTGGCCATCTTTTCGACATTGGAACGGGGGTGAAACTGCTCGTATCGTTAGCTTAGCTTGGGGAGTCCCTGTAAGGTGGCAGAGGGGGGGAGAGGGGAAGCTTACGTCGTCGCCTTCAATGTACGGCAGGTTCAGACGCTTTGCCAGGAAGTCTGCTACTGAGGACTTCCCGCACCCGGCTGGGCCCGTGATGATCCATATATGTCGGAGTCGTGTCTCGTGCTTTGGTATTGATTGAACTTTTCCCATCGTGTGGATTGCTGATGGGGTGGAGACGTAGACTCCAGATTTCTCGTTGTAGGAGAGCATGATGGGCAGCTGTTTGGGGGGGGGGGTTGGTATGTAAGGCGGTAGGCAGGCAGGTCAACGTAGGTAGCTAACCTAAAGCTCTGGAAGGTGGTAGGTAGTACGTAGGAGGAAGGGGTAGGGTCCTCCGCAAACAAAGAGGTAAAGTAGGAATTATGCTCTTATGGCGTAATGAGCAGCAAGCTATTGTCGTATGGTATTACCAGTGCACGGCTAGGTAGACTATGGGCAGACACAAACGGATGCGGCCAGAGCAGGTGGGTTAGCAGAAGCTTTAAATACTTGGTCTCACTCCAGTCCTCAGTGAGTGCCACACACCAAGGGCCCTACGAAAGGTTGTTAAAAAAGTAAAAGGGAGAGCTCCACTACTCGAGCATAAACTTTTCTCCGGAGAGCAAAGCTCTCCTTGAGAGTCACGCGGGAAAAGCAAACACACATCCTCGGAAGTGTGTAAGAAAATGCATATAAAATAAAAAATAAAAAAAAGGTTCCAGGAGGGCGAGAGGGATGATGATGTGATGTAAGGTGTGACCCGTATGAGGCAAAACTAGGAACAATACCGGTACGGTAACTCAACTCTCTGCAACGCGATGGAAATTGCAAAAAAAAGTAAAAAAAGTACTATAAACATATGCCCACGGAAGAGGAAATCGGTACTGTAGACATAACCCCCCAAATATACGAAGGCAAAGAAAAAAAATGGAGAGAGATGGAGGGAGAGAGAGAGAGAGAGAGAGAGAGAGAGGAACTGCAAACAACTGAGTGTAAACCCCGAACTCGTGAATCCGTTGCCCACCCAGTCGAACAAACCATGTCCCGGCCCGTAACCTCTTCCTCACACAGCTTCTGCCTCAATCTCACCCACCTACTGGATCACTGAATCAAGCAACCAATCAATCAATCAAAGCGATCAATCACCCACTTCACTCGTTAAGTTGGCTGGCTTGTTAGTTAGTTGGTCGGTTGGCTCTCCCTTACTGCCGGTTGTCGTACCGGTACTGAGCACAAGCTGGTGCGGTACTGCGCCATACTGCACCAACACCAATTAATTGTATCTTAAGTGTACCGTTCCCGAGCACAGTACTCGAGTACTCGCACTGCAAAGCGTGTACTTGTACCAGTCGTGTTGTGCAATTCAACAACACCGCTAAGTGCTCCCAAACCCCGCACGCCACCCGGGGATATCCCTTTGCAGCTGCTACAGAATTGGATTGAGAGAGAGGGCGTATGGAGACGGGCATTATTGGGGATCTACCCTAATTGCATAGTACCTTTGTGTCACGAGGCGAGAAATGAGGCCCGAATAATAGCGCGCCCAAAGGGGGAACTTGTGCTTGAGTACCGGTATCATAACTACTCGAGTAGTCAACAGTACGGTGGAAAGTGAGGGGTGAATGAAAAGAGAGCGGGAGCGATGAGGGCTCATCCTGAAAGGTGGAAAGTAGCTGGCCGGGCTGGTTTGGGGCTAGTTGGCATGGGTGGAAGGAGAAAGGGAATGGGAGTGGTGGTGGTGGGCAAGGCAGGAGGAGGTGTGGGATGGGATAGGGCACAAGGGAGTGGAGCGTGGGGGGGTCCAGGGGAGGGAAGGTTTTGATGGCGCGGGAGGAAAGTTGGGGTTTGACTGGGGTTGGCCTGTTGTGAGGGAGGATTTGGGGGGGGCGAAGGAGGGGGAACCTTTTTTGAGAGGGATGCCGCGAGCAGCTGCCAGTCATGACCTACGCTAAACTTGATGAGGAGTGTGTACGAACCTCGACAACGCACGCATCACAGCAACCGGTACAATGTACAGTACAGTACAAGTACTCGAGTACTCGTACCGGTACTCTTGGATATGGTTTAGATGTTGAAGTGTGGGTAAAGGTACCATAGGCGCCCCGGTGCGCACAATTACCACCACCACCCCAGAGAGTGGGCCCAGAGAAATGGTAGGGCGTTGGATGCACCGGAGCCATGGACTCTGGGTGAAGGGAAATCAAAAAAAGACAGGGTCGAGAGTGGTAATGGGAATGGAAGAAGAAGAAAAATATCGTACCAATGGGAAAAGAAAAGAACATCACAAAAACGAGGAAGATGGGGAGTAAAAATAGAAACACACATGGGAAAGAAGGAGAGGAAGAAGACCCCCAGTTGGCTGAGTGGCGGAAACAGTTGACCGGCTGCCTCCACGCCCAACGGTACCGTACCTGCTCGTAAGTTAACCTCGAGTTTTCTATGGTGTACTTGTAAGCAGGTTTCCCTGGCGCTTTGACAATTTACTTGGCCTAACGCTGGTCCTGTTGGCAAAGTTATTTTCTTTCCCCGGGTTGCCTTGTGGTCTCCCAAAGCCGAAGGGTCCGGACCCGAGACAAGCTGAGTTGCTGACACAAGACGCTTCATTGGCGCACGCCCTCCGGCCCAATGGTTGGAAGGTGGTGAAAGGACAAAGGATGGAGGGGCCTTGGAGTGGGAGCAGTGCGATTGCCCCTCTGATCCCTGTTGGAGTGGGGGTTTCCCTCCTCTGGGCACCACATCGCCTTTCAGTACTTGTATGGTAACTTGAAGCATGGTGAGCAGCCGATTCGAACATCAGACGAATTGGGATACCTTTGGGGAAGGGAAAAGAGGTAAAAAAAAAGGTTCAAAGGAAGCCATGCCTTCTAAGGGTGAACCAATGCGCCGGCGAAAGCCGACTCTGTGATGCTCCCCGGAGAAAGATATGGTTTTCGAGACATAAACCATGATGGACACGGACACGGATACACAGAACCCGATATTTGTGGACAAGGCGGAGCAAAAAGAAAAAAAGAGAGAAAGAAAAAGAACCCAGTTCTGTTGATTCGCCCGCAATCCCCCACCATCTTCATGGATTTTTCTTCCGTCCTCTCCTACGGTACGCTACTGTTATGCTCTTCCTTCCCTCTCCTTCCCTCTCCTTCCCTACCCTCCCCTACCACGCCCACAACCCCACCGCCAATCCTAACTGTTAACCCATCAGCTCCCAATTGGCATTGCAGGATCTATGCATAATAGTACTCGAGTACGGTAAGTGTTCTCCTCGCGCACCGGTACTATTGTTTTCGTCCGCGTGTCTCTCCCACCGCTCCTCCGCGCCCGTCTGGGTCATTCTCAGCCTGGACGCGGCTGCGTCGCAGAAAAGCTGGGGTGCATACACGAAGCTCAAGACTGCCGTACTCGTATGTTCGTTTATGGCACTCTTTTCCACCAGCAACTTACCCTCGCCATTCGTGTAATACTTGCGGCGGGCCTATCGGGGCTCCCGGCATGTATGAGTACTTTTCAGTACGCAGAGCAGAGCAAGGGTAGGGTGGGGTACAGCGCAGTGCGGTAGCGCCACGCTTCTTTTTTCAAGGTCACCCACGTCAACAGATTGAAGATCATATGGATAGACCTGCATACATAAAGACTTCACTCGTACATGCTCAAGCCATGCACTAGTATCATACGAGAGAAGTACATACATCATACATGGTGCATTGAATAAAATATACTCAAATGCCATACTGAAGTGTGTTGTGGTGGTTGAAGTATTATTTGGAGTAGATTATAAATGCGGGGAGTGAGGAGGGGTTGGAATAAGAGCTATCTGGCTCAGAGCTCTTACGGGGCGAGTATGATACAGCACTCCATATTCTTGGCGAGGGGTCCCGCACGAGTGAGAGGAAAGTGTAGTCGAACTCGGATTGATTAAAATGCTCATAGCCTCAATGTTGTTACCGGAGTTTCTGCGGCAACTGGTCTCGACAAACAAGAGGTATACCGGTGGCGCATGTCATGTATGTATGATAGGTAGAATATGTATGCATCATAGTAAAAATCACGGTAACGGGGCCCACTGGCCGGGGCAAAGACCCTGAAGCTGGAAGAAAGTGCAATTCCTATTGGCTCCTACAAGTACGATATTATGGTATTACGGTATACGGTATTACAAGTATCATACTTGACTTTCTGAAGTCGGGGGGGGGGTTCTTTTCTTTTAAAAAAAAAATTAAAAAATTTACCTCTTTTTTCTTCCTCCTCTCACTTTTTCCATTCTTCGGAAAAGTACGAGTATAGTACTCGTACTCAAGTACCCCGAGATCTCCCATGGTTCCGCCGACCATTCGGGTGGGTAAATTTTCGGCGGACTGGACCCTGAGTAAATGACGTCAACCGGGGTAGTGGCAGCAAATCAATCAGACATCAGAACATCAACGATCGGTGGCAGGGATGTGTCGGACAGTCACCAGAAGCGCTGTGGGAGGGCGGATAACCGTGGAGCTCTCGCACCGGTATCTGGATTACGGTGTTTGCAACATGTTGATCGTTGCCCCCCCGATTCATTTGATTGGTCGGGAAACTTCCCATTTGTATGGAGTCATTTTTCTTGGCGGCGTCACTCATGGAGTTATTATGATACATTTATGGCCCTATTGCCTGGAAAAGCGTGGATTAGGAGCCATCACGAGGCATTCCTAATTGGGTAATTTATTTGGGGCTAAATCTTCCTGATCAAGGCAACGCTGGCGGGCAACACACGACATCGCATCCACGCGTTGCCGTTCCCACTTTTGAAATCGTTTCTCGAAGCCGGCGAGGAGCAATCATTTCATTCATCAATTCTCATCATCCGATACATACCAGCTTTTGTTTCAACGAACCCCACTCTCTCCTCCGGAATCCATCTTGCTTTGTACTAGCGGTCCTGAATTGCCCTTGCTATGTCGTACTTCTTCTCTACCCCGCTGGATATCGACATCCGACTGGAGGACTTTGATGAAAAACGGCAGATGGTGGATGTGAAGCTCGACAAGAACAGACGGGAAAAATGTCCACTCTATTCGGATGGAGAATCTGTAAAGGGGGCTGTCACCATTCGGCCAAAGGATGGGAAGCGTCTGGAGCATACGGGGATCAAGGTGCAATTCATTGGGACAATAGGTTGGCTGTCCTTCAATCGAATATACGAAGCTTGTGTGTTTGCCTGGCAGCGCAGCAGGATCGGGCTGTCGAACAACGTGTGTGATTGAAGCTATGCTGAACATTGTGTGTTTGCTTTTCTTGCACTTTAGAGATGTTCTACGATCGTGGAAACCATTACGAATTTCTCTCCCTTGGTCAAGAGCTGGCTGCCCCTGGCGATCTCCAGCATCCGCAAACCTTCGAATTTGAGTTCAAGAATGTCGAAAAGCAGTATGAGTCGTATAACGGCATCAATGTCAAGCTTCGCTACTTCGTTAGGGTTACGGTTTCGCGGAGGATGGCAGATGTGATCCGTGAGAAGGACATATGGGTATATTCTTACCGCATGCCACCCGAGAGCAACAGCTCGATCAAGATGGACGTTGGCATCGAGGATTGTTTGCACATCGAGTTTGAGTACTCAAAATCCAAATACCATCTCAAAGACGTCATTGTCGGGCGGATTTATTTCCTTTTGGTACGGCTCAAGATCAAACACATGGAACTATCAATTATTCGCCGGGAGACTACTGGAACTGCCCCCAATCAGTACAATGAAAGCGAGACCCTCGTCAGATTTGAGGTGGGTTTCCCGCACACGGAAAGAAGATAATGACTCGGTAACATCTAACTGATTTGTATAGATTATGGACGGATCTCCCTCTCGAGGTACGTATCCAGTTATCCGCTTGTGCGACTCATCACCTGCTGTTCAAGACTTTAACCCAAGACTGCCTCTCTGATTGCTTATGATGTGAACCATAGGCGAGACCATCCCCATCCGCCTTTTCCTTGGCGGGTTCGATCTGACTCCCACATTTCGCGAGGTCAACAAAAAATACTCGACTCGTTACTACTTGAGTCTAGTATTGATTGATGAAGGTACGGGTTTTCTTTTTCTTTTTTTCCCTCTTAAAAATCATTTGCTTGCCTGCTACTGTATTCCCCTTTGTAACACTCGGTTCCACCATCCCCCTGGGCGTGGGGGCTCATTTGCCAATATACGAGGATGCGCCGAGATTTTGGTATTTAAGATGGGGATGCAATTGGCTAACTGGGTGGGACATAGATGCTAGACGCTATTTCAAGCAATCCGAGATTGTGCTCTACCGTCAACTGGTGTGAAAGGATTGATTAGCTGAAATAATGGATGGTCTATCGAGTTTGATTTTTAACTCTATAGTTTTTTTTGCAAAAATTTTCCACTCTGGCGCAATTTCTTTTCCGTACCGGGAGTGTGCCATTGAGCTGAAGAAACCCATATGAACCATTAAAGTGCCGATTTTCTTGGGGGGTTTCCGTTATGTATTTTATATATAATAAAGGGAACAAATCGTGATTCTTGAATGACGGCGAACTCTTTTTTTCCTTTTTTTTCCTTTCCTTTCCTTTCCTTTTCTTTTTCTTTAGGTCTTTTATTTTTCCCTCACACACCGAAAAAGGGCAGGTCTCTGTGCACTACCGGTAGTTTGAATCTTGATGCTTGGAACGTGATCCCACGCGACTTGATCCCTGTTGGCGGGCGATCATAGCACATCACGTGAAACGAAAGAGGAGACTCGCTTTCTTCTGTTGGGAAGGGTGAAGAGAAGACGAGGTGGTACGGAGGAAGAAGAGGAGTGGGAAGAGAGGAAGAAAAAGAGAGGAAAGGGAAGGAAATGAAAGGAAATGGAAAAGGAAAAAAACGTTAAATAAATTACCGTACTTACCTACGGCGGTTGACCTATCAAAGTGACGGAAATTTTGTTAGCTGAGAGGAGAAACAAACACTTCAACCGGTCCGGAAAAACCCAAACAAAACCCCTCATAACCTTACAACACTCTCCTATTCTCCAGCTAGCAGCGTACGGCAAGCTAGGCTTGCCGTATTTGAGCATAATACCCGTCAATCCAGTGGTCCACCGAGCTAACTTGCATACATATCATACAATAACCTCTCCAACCAGCATACCCTATCTACGAGTACAGGTGCTCCTACACCCCATTTCATCCAGGGCACTCTCGACACGGGAAGCAGCACTCGTTTGGCTACCCCGCGCGACTTTTTATACCTTCACAGTTGGCGAGGGGTTGAATAGCGTGAGATCTAGGAGGTGAATAGAGTATGTAGAGCAAGGCATTCACTGAATCGATGGGGCCAAACTGGACTGACAACCAACAGAAGTTGAGTTTCCGACAAGCCAGCGCTCGGCAAGAAAACCCCTAATCCCTTAAATCACCATACTTGCAGATCCGGTTATCTAGACAGATTTGATGATAAAGGTGGGTGTCGTATTGTATCATATGGTGGTTCACTTTTTTCACCTATCCGAGGGGCACGCACAGCGTGCTCGCGGTTGAAGCGAAGGGAAGGGGAAGGGGGAATGATTTTGGATTGGGCTGGGCGGATCTCGACCCAAGGCTGAAGAACGCCCACTTCCCCGAGACAAATAGAGGCCTTGCCGTCTCTTTGGAAGGGCGGGGGGGGTTTTTTTTTTTAACTTTTTTTTCCTTTTTTCTCACGTTCTTACCCTATTGTGACGCTTCACCTATCCTCTAGTACAATCTACGAAAGGACCGATAGACTACCCTAGTTGGTACAAAAGATATGATACAATAAGATCGGCTCTGGTTTTTCGCTGAGTATGTGTGGTAGTTTGTGGTCCTCTTGTCTAATTGTCCTAGAATTATGAACCTTTCCTTCCTACCTTCCTTTTTCAAAGAGTTGTTGTTTGACGCGCTGCTAGATAAGTTACTGTTTTTCTCCATTGCATCGAGTAGGCCACGTCGGATGCCTCGGTATGGAACCGCAGCCCTCATGGGTCATATTATGCGGACAGCGGTCTTGCTGTACCGACTTGCAATTCCAAACGTACATACATATTGGCGGACAATGAGAGGACACGAGAGTAATTATTGAACAGCACTCTTCCCCTCGTTGCACCATCTTCTGACTTACATCCTGCCTTCCGCCCCCCTTTCCTCTGTCCACTCTTTCTGACTCTCCACACCCTAAGAAAGCCCTTGCCTCGGTGGGAATCTATTTGCCATACTCATCTGTGATATACTTCAATCTTGAGGAAGCCCCCCCACGATCCGGTGAGCAGCGGAGCGGAGACAGGGACGGCTAACAAGGACCTGAAGAAAGGAAGGTGCATAGAGATCACATAGAAGAGATGTCGAGGGGAGTACAGAGGGTATAAGGCGAGGAAAAGCAAGTGCTCTTCGGGGTCACCGCGCAGTCTCTTCATCCATACCATTCTTGGACTTGGCTTACTATCTCAGTACATCTCCTATGATGAAAGACGAGATCGGTTGAAGGCTGCCGCGGAGAGGCGCCGACAAGGCTAGACCGGGATATAGGGGTTCGGCCTCATGCAGACTGGGGAAATTATTACGAGTGATATCTCATGGTGCATATCTCGAGGAGTCTCCCTTGCTACCGGAATAACTCAGACCTAGCGCTGATTATTTACCAGTAGGCGGGTCTCGCTCCAACTAACCTTGGATAATGAAAAAGGTCCTCTTTCTTGCCGCCTCAGGGATGTCTTATGGTTCAAATAAAGATGGCACATGGAGGGCGAAAGGCTATGCATTCCAAATACAGTTGGAGCGCAGCCAATTTATCTCAACGACTTTCGCTGTCTTTCGTGTCAGTCCCGATCTCAATGGCCATGCTGGGAACCGATCTTGCCAACATTTTTATTATTTTCTGAGCTTCGGGTATTCAGGAACCCTTAAGGTGATTCTTAGCGGGGTCGGAGGGATGCAGAAGCCAGAAGAGCCGCGCTGATGCCCAAACTCAACTGTACAAGGCGAATCCTTTGGCTGATGCCGGCGCTCTAGGTGCCGGAACTCTTTTTTTTAAACGGAAATGCAATTGACGCAATATCTAGGAAATCAAGGTGTGATTGGTGGCTGGCCGGATGCGCAAGGGGAACTCAAGGGACTCCCTAGTACATATATGCGATCGGGAAGAGTCCGCCTTGACCATTTTCTCGCTATTTACTCATAATATTAGCTGTCCCATTTTCTTATCGAAGGTATCTTGAAGTGGACCGGCCCGGACCACATCTCAATCCAGCTGGCGAACCGGGTGGCTGATCCAACCAACCCTTCCCTCAGCATTTGAATGTGCTTTGGATCGATCGGATTGGATGCGATTTTCAGCCGCCGGGGAGTACGCGCGATGGAATGTTCATGTGATATGGCTATGACTGTGTGGAGATAAGGTCTATGCAACGGGCTTAGATTGTCCTTCGGCTCGTAGGTGCAGAATTTCAAATGTCCTCCTCTATATACCATATCATTTGTGATTTAGCGGATACCGCTTGATTGAGACTGCACTTGGGGGCATGTATCACAGACTTGGACGTCACAATGCGTGGAACGTGTGGTTCATATCGCGGGCCAATTCCGTGATGAGTCGGTGGGGGTGACGGGGCCGGGATTCGAAGCGAGTGCGGAACATGTGGAACCTATCAAACGGCGATTTCTTCCACATAAGACTTGGGAATGAACTTGGAAGGAGAGTACGATTCCAGAGCAGAAAGGCATCTTGTCTAAAGAATCCCCGAGGAGAAGCTTCCCTCAAGATCCAAACAACATTTTACCACATGGAAGGAATTCCAGGTGTGCGTCAAGCTGGTCGGGAGGTCGTCTGCCATTTAGTTTAAACCATGCAGCTTCCCCACAATCTGCCGAAGGCGCACACTTACCTTTCGCATGCCCCGCCCCTTGTGGCTTCCATGCGGTCATCTTTGAGGATCGGTGATTCTGGTTGCAAACGGCCACCTCCAAGATGAGAGGAGACGTTCGGTGTGGTCAAGCTTCATTTAGATTCCGGTTCTCAACGAGTGAGAACCTATGACTGCATTTTCTCTCGGAGATGTCCGGCGCGATAACTGCTGGCGATGACTATTCGGAAGGAAAGAATTAAAAGGGCATCCTTGGGGGGGGGGTCGTCAACATTTATAAAAGTGTTTTATACTCGTATATGGGTACGTAACAATTACCCTTTGCTTCACTGTAAGATCTCTTGTCATTCACTATCTCCGTCGGGCCTCTAATCTCCGCATTTAGAGACGAAATCTCCCGAGAAGGATAGCGATTTCCCGACAGGGTATAGCCTGAGCCTTCTGGATGTGTTGGATCTCATCAACTGGTATCACCACTCTGCAAACTCTGCCAACCTGGCCAAACTAAGCCTATCGTGGGCCGGTGCGGTGATTTCCGTCAGTGATCTGATAGCTTATTCCGAGATCTTACGGTATGCGAATGGTTGATACACACTCGCAATAGATACCCCCCCACGCTCAGAGGTGTGGTATCCTGCTTTTCTAAGACAGGTGACTTCTACTGTACGCTTACATATTGTTCGGGGGTGGTGGGATCGTCAGTTTGTCGCTCGGGCACGGTGTGTTGCTCCGATGTGAAGCTCATAATTCGCATGGCGCATCGCCCCCGAACTCGTGTGAATGTCCTTAGCTATCTATGGGGATACGCTGCGGTGGATGAGCTCTTCTCTCTGCGCTCTAACTTATGAGGCGAGCGATTCCCCAGCTTTGCTTCTCTACCTTACTTGCCAATACCTCATTACGGGCGAAATGAACATCTACTCCTCCGCCCCCCTTAGGTAGCACTGTCCGCCGTGGAGAAAATCCACCGCGCACGTTCGTCAAAAGCAAAAATTCACCTCAAAACCTTCAGCTCTTCATTTCCCATTTCTCTTCTGCTTTTACTCTTCCACTATCGGCACTCTAGCCTACTCTGCTCAAGCGCTCCCCATTGGTTCGGGAACCAAAGAAATGATGTGCTAGCGGTTCTTTTCTACTTTCCTTTTTTCCTTTTTACACCATCACTTGGGGTGGTTGTCTGGCTCTTGGAGTTGAATCTGGCAGGTACTCGAGTACAGGTTACAGGCAAGAAGTATCCGAACATGAGACATGTTTAATATATGGCTAACAGACAAATAACCGTTGTCTCATGTTCGGATAATTCTTGCCTGTTACTTGTATATAAGCGCGTTCTTCACGGCATTTTCGCCTGACATGAAACATTGTTAAGGAACGAGGCTGCGTTGTGGTCCGTGCTCGAGTTGAGACTTGCTGAGGTATCGTATCGCTGCGCATGATTTCCTTTCCTTTTCTTTTTGAATGGATTTGTGTACCGTACTAAACCGTAAAAACTCTTGGAATCCAACTATCTCCGTCATCCAGTCGTCCCGCGGTGGGTTCAGTTTGGCAGGTCAACAGAATTGCGAGGACAGGTTAAAGAGATACAACACATTTAGTGGGTTGATCTTATACTATATCAGGAAAACTCTAATCCTTCTCGCGGGGGTTTTGTCTCTAGGCCCAGAGATTACATTGCTGTCAGAGGTGGTGGATTCCAAGGGTTTTTAGGGTGCTACGGTAGCACTCGTATCGAGCCTGCATAGGGGGGTGAAGAAGCAAGAGTTGAGAGTGGGGGGCCGGTGTCTGGGTTATGGTTAGTATACCGGTACGATAGGGGTATTTGTTAGTGGTTATGGGGAGCGCGGCTTACACTTGCCGTAACTTAACTATCTAACAGCATAACATCTTACCCACCACGAGCCTCCAGGGGTTTGCTTCACCTTTGCTCCATGCGAGGGATATTCTCGCGAGCGTTTTATGCACTCCCACGGTTCACTCGTATGACTCTTTCCTCCCCACCCGTCGTCATGGATTATCACCCGCACACGGGTGGCTCAGTTGGTGTTGATATCCGACCAGTCATCTCCTGACGCGGTTACTGCGGCTGCACTTAATGTTGGATGTAACCTGGTCGCGTTGCAAAAACTGGTGGATCGACAGTTTTTTCGTGGACGGGGTTTGCATGTGCTGGGATTTGCTACATGCAGAGGGTGATCATGGCGTGGGGTTGTTCCGAGTCCGGGATTTTGGAAATGGGTCGTAATGGGAGGAAAGCTTGTTCTTTTTGTGGTTGGTTGGTTCAACCTGGTTTTACAGTGGGGGTGGTTGAGCAGGGTGTGTGTGTGTGGTCGTGTTTCGTGTACTCGAGTATGTTATCTTGTGAGCGTTTGGCTGCCCTGCGAAGCCCTGGGAGTGAATACGGGTAGTGCTTTTGGGGGTTTGCGCGGGTTGGGCGGCATGATAAGGTGTGGTAAGTACCGTATCATAGGTAGGTTTGTATAAAGCTTAACATGGCTTGGCTTAGAAACTGTGTGGAGCAGATGGTGTGTTATATCATAGCTGAAGCCGAGTTATATATTACCGTGGGCCCCGCCCTTCGCATGGGACGGTGGGTAGTGTGCTTACCATACAGTGCTTGTACCTTCCCAGCTGACTTGTGCATTAAATTTGGTGATTTGATAAACATATACAGTATCGATCACAAGTGTTATCGCCCTTGACCGACTCGGGGAATTTCCGGGGGGGCACGGCGGGTGAGAAAGGGTGATTATCAGGCCGCCTACTCGACCGGTGTAATATCAAGGTTGTGACCCAACTTAGCAAATCCGAGTGCAAGGAGGGGGGGGTGATCCAAGCGGATCTTGGGACACTATAAAAGTACATAGGCGGAGGTTAGGGCCTTGAATGGGGTCACCGTCAGTCCTGGTTTCCTTGCAGGCTCAGGATAGATTTACCAAGCCC